GGCCTTTAAGGTGTCGCGGATAAATACAACAAAATAAAACTAGTACCGGTACCAAAAAAAAGAAGATTTATTCATAACACAGGTGAAAAGACTCAGGAAAACAGAGTTAACGATAAAAACAGTAACAAAATAACGCTGAAAACCGATAAAAACGCTGAAAAACATACATTTCACACCTGAGCCTCAACTCTTGCGGCCCGGTACCAAACGACTCACGGACCGGTACCGGTCCGAGGCCCGGGGGTTGGGGACCGCTGCCTTACATTACTCAGTACTTTAAAAAAGTAATCGGATTACAGTAACGTGTTACTGCCCATCTCTCCCTATAGACATGTACTAAATCTGTTCACAAGAGATGATGAGTGTCCCCAGTTCAAGGGAGGGGATTATTTCCTTCTTGAAAGCACCCTTAGTTTGTCTTTTACATGAGGAACATGCTCAAATCAACGGTTTTTGTTTTGATCTGGGGAACTCACTATAATACAGGAACTAAAGGGGTAATTCTGTATTCAAAATTAATAATATGTACAGTTTTTTGTTTTCATTTATATACGAGAAATCTTTCAACTGTTCATAATTTCAGTTATCTTAAATTTTAAAATGGTGCTTGCACCAGTTCTAAAATACCAATTCTTTTCATCTTCAGAATGGTTTTGATGGTGAATTAACGCTTAATGTGGAGTAATGCTGGTTAGTATACTCACAAGGAAGCCGATGTAAATCTCTCCTTTTGATTCGCCCACCAGCCACACACTTTTCTTATCATTGTGGATCACGCAGTGAAATTCAACTTCATAGAGCCAACTGATAACAAGAGACAACCCACATTTAGAGTAACCAAAAAACAAGCAACAAGGATTCCATCAAAGAGCTGTTGAACTGGATTTTGGTCATGCAAATATCAAATAAGCATTTTGATCCAAGGTCTGCTACAGTTTGAGGAAAGAAGCTAATACAGCTTGTGTTAGAATGTAGTCCAGTATGAGAGGATTATTATGCTGAATGGCTGATTTAAAAAAAAAAAAAAAAAAAAAGCATGAAAAATACATTACTTGTTGACTTTATTGTGCCAGGTGCCCTCGTTGTTCTTGGGTGCCACATCAAATACTTCTCCAGTTTTGTTCACCCCAAATAAAGCAGTGCAGTAGAAGAGGCACACCACTGGTTCACTGTCTTTGTAGATGGTTACATTCACCAAGCTGGAAGCAAGAGACAAAAATTAAAGAAGAACTAGTTAGTGTGAAGACAGAAACTCATAATACCTCATGTGATGTCTCCCTCCACTGCTGATGCACTGAAGCTCAGAATCAGTTAAACTTCACAATCTTAATCAACACAAAACAGCTTTCACGTGCCAGTTTACCACAGCGCTTAGACAGTCATGTTTTTTATTAAGCAAACTAGGCAAAATTAGTTATTGTCATTAACTTTATAGGACTAATGCAGATGAGAGTGCTTGGGCATCTTATGTATTAGCTGTTGGTGTTTACCTTGCTGTTTCATGTTTTTTATTCCACACCAGCTTCCAAACACCAATAAGTTTCACACTCGCCACAGCGATCTGACTATCAGGCATGAAACAGACCGCTGTAATGGGGTCATCAAATACCTGACATACACACACACACACATACAAACACACACACACAGACACACACAAAGATGGATGGCATGGTCAAAAAAAAAAAAAAATTTAAAAAGAGTTTAAAAAAAACTATTTTTCTTTGTACACTTCTTCACCTGCTTGTGGCCAACCACTGAGTTGTTTTGCCACAACTCGAGCAAACCAGATTCATACCCAGCGACGAGCAGGTCATCATTTTGACAGAAGCACAGAGCTGTGACCGAGCCTTTCAGGTTTGGAGGACTTGCTGTGGAAAAAAGAAGAAACACAGTTTTCATAACAAAATGTGCATAAGGACCCTTAATAACACTGTAATTACTTTAAAGATAAGGCTACACAGGGCACCAGTTTAGCTCCCAGCATGTGTTCAGTAGTACTTATTTTATTTTTAGATTTAAAAAATCTTCTTTGATTAATTCAACACTGGGAGATATGAGTATCAATTAGAATTTCTTCAATCTTTTTCACCATCATTCATTTATGTTTTAAAAAGGTACAATAAGTTTTTTAGGCTTTTTTTAAAATAAAAAAGAATATTGTACTCATAAAGACACATTGATTTGTGCGTAATTGCATCTGAAACTGAATGATGCACTCTCGTAAACTTTAAATGCAGTCATTATAAGTACATAGATTTGTGTGCTGGATTGTGGGCACACCATTTTGAACACAATGACCGAGACGGACATCACAGCTAATTGGTTCAAGATTTCCTGAAATGAAGTCTGGGCTCTAACACAAGAAAACATGCATAAACATACTTATAAAATATTAGAGTGCACCTGTAATTTGTAAGGATGTTTTTCTTGAAAGGAAATGAAACTTATAAGGAGTTTTAAAGACATTTTAAGTAGCTAATTTTGCACAATATTGGTGAGAAATTTAATGGGAACATGGAAAGATAATTAAAGACATTAATATTTAACATCATACCTCTCTCTTTTTGCATCTCACTATATAACATCCTACTTATCAGTGCACAAAAGGGGAGCATTTTAAACATCATTACTCATAAGCACTTACAGCTGCAAAAGGCCACATAATAATGCGTCGTTAACCAATTTTCAAATGTTCATTACCTAATTGCAGTTGATAAATATTGACTTTTTAATACAGTAAAAAAAATAAATAACAAGAGTTAAATCCATTTTCAAATTTGAGATGTTTCTACTGGCTTACTGTGCCAATTTATGGAACATAAGCTGGAGCCAAACAGCCGGTACTAAAATAAGAAAAATGAGAGATTTGTAGCTCCCTAAAAGTTGATTTTATTCATCTGGACGTAGCGTTTTCAGTGGGAGAAATGTTTCGTCACTCATCCAAGTGACTTCTTTAGTCTCAGCTGGCTGCAGGTTTTCCAAATCTTATACACAGTACATTTGCACAGTGACTGAAACTAGCACCACTGAAGGAACAATGGGCTGGGAGATTGGTTCCTTGATTATTAGTATGCAAATTCTCATGACGATTGATCAACAACCACTGATCAAAGACCATTGATCAATAGCCATGAGTACCATTCACAGAGAGTTGGGGAATGGCTGCAATCCCAGCACTGTAACATGGCAAAAGATGTACCCTCAGGCCCCCTCCTCGAATCAGAGATGGTCTTTCCCTGTTCATACAAATGGCCTCCTTGACTCTGCGCTCAAACCAGCGTTCCTCCCTGTCCAGGATGTGTACATCCTCATCACTGAAAGAGTGTCCACTGGCCTGTAGGTGTAAACAGACTGCAGAGTCCTGGCCTGACGAGGTAGCTCTTCTGTGTTGTGCCATCTGCTTCACCAGAGTTTGTTTGGTTTCCCTGATGTATAAATCCTGGCAATCCTCCTGCCACTTAACAACGTACACTATGTTACTCTGTTTGTGTCTGGACCAATTTTTGGTGCAGTTTTTGGGGTTTAAAAGCCACAGAGATACTGTGTTAAACTGTTCCAATACTCCTGACACATACGGGATCACTACGGGTTTTTGCTGAGCTTTCTTTAGGTGCCTTCCGAGCAGATTTGTAGACACTTGTGAGTTGATAATTATGATTCGTATCATTTATATAAATGGTAAAAAAAGTAAAAGTCTCAATTTAAACCAAATTTTTTTTAACCTGTTGTCCATGTCCAGCATCGCAGCGAGCGGTCTTCAGAAACAGTGAAGAATTGTGGGACCCTTTCCTTGCAAACGACTCCATGA